ATATATATATATATATATATATATTTGTGGATGGACACAATACCTTTATTTTGTTTATTTAATTTTTTAATGTGATGCTAAAGATTGAACCCAGTGCCTCACATGCAAGCACTCTACCAATGAGCCAAAACTTCAGCCCTCGGGCAACATTCTTAACTCTGAATTCTTGATTCTTTTTTCTATACAAATGCTAATACTAATATCCTCTTTGTTTACTTGTTGAATGAAATAACAGATAGAAAAGTGTCTAGCACAGATCTTAGTACATGCTAGGTGTCTGAGAAATGGTTCCTTCTATCTCTCCTTCCCCCTTTTCTCTTCTTTTGTTGCTGCTGGAAATAAAAACACAAATATGACCTAGAACCTGCCTTTGAGATGCTAGTCTCAACTGGCCAGAGTGCAAGGCAGAACACAGGTGCTTCACAGAAGGGGCAGGTATAACCTAGTGGAGCAGAGAGAAGAATTCACTTTGTGTTGGGGAATTGGAAGCTATCAAAGAGGGGGGAAAAAACTCCATAGAGAGGTAGAATTTGTCTACTTCTTTTCCATCCCCCAATTTTCCATTTCCCTCCTTTCTTTTTTTTTAATATTTATTTTTTAGTTTTCGGTGGACACAACATCTTTATTTTATTTTTATGTGGTGCTGAGGATTGAACCCAGCGCCCTGCACATGCCAGGCTAGCGCACTACCGCTTGAGCCACATCTCCAGCCCCCTCCTTTCTTTTTACACAATTTTGACCCAGAATTTAAAATGTCCAGAGTTGGGGAAGGTTCCAAGCCCAGCCTGACCAGACAGGGCTCCATTTCTCTCGATGTGGCTCTCCCTCATTTGCTGGCTCTGTCCTCAGGTGGATGGATACCAGGGAGTAACTCAATGTCCTCTGAAAACTCAGTTCTCAGAAAAATGCTACATGCACAAACAAGGGTTTGTGTACACTTGTAGGGGTTCACAGACTGTCTGAAGCCAAACCACTGGTCTCTGCTTTAATACCTATGAGTGAAGAAAACATCCCTATGAAGGTCTTCGATATTCAGCATGGTAATGTCATCAAGTATCATCACCTCTTCCTCCTTCTTGGGTAAACTTAAAAGGAACCTGTGTTGAAAAGTCAGGCGAGCTATTCTGAGTCTTTCCTTAAAAGTCAGGCTCTTGAGGAATGTGGGATTTTAACAGAGTCTTGGAAAAGCAGGATTGTGCAGGCCAAGCAGATGGCGTGAGCATCAGAAGGCACAACAGGGATTCTCAGGGAATGTCTGGAGGTGAGGCAACGGGTCTAGCTGTGGCTGCAGTACTGTGAGGGAGGGTCATGGTGATGTCAAGAGCCAGCTTGTGGATGGCTTTGAGGGGTTGGAGGAGGACTATTTTTGGTTTCAGACAGTGGACTCACTGGACTTGGGTACACAGCACTGGTCACAGTTGTAATTGTACATTCTTTGTGTGATTAATTGATTAGTGTCTTCTGTTCCTCTGGTCTATCAGCTCTCATGTCCCAGGAACCATCTGAATCTAGCATGAGTCAAGAATGTCCAACTTAATGGATACTCAATATATATTGGTTTATGAACAGGTAGATTAATGGCTGAATTAACAGTTTCAGAGTGGAAAGAGACAGGCTTGGATCAATGTTTCTAACAAGCATGGGCTTTAGTACTTGATTTGATTTTGTCTCTGTTTCCTTTTTTGTTTATCAATGGGTGTCACACAGGGATGGAAATGGCATCTTGTTGGTCCATCTTTCCTGTGTTGGGGCAGATTAGATTGAGCTCTGCAGTGAAGTGTACAAATGATCTACCAGTCCCTGTCCCCCTGCCATCTTCCACATGTTATTTGACCTGAGGCACCTTGAAATAATGCAAAAACACACAGTTTTGGAATTAGATGAGATTAGTTCATTCTTTTACTCTATTTCTTTTTTTTAAAAAAGTACTTATTTTTTAGTTTTAGATGGACACAATATCTTTATTATTATTTTTTAAATGTGGGTGCTGAGGATCGAACCCAGTACCTCATGCATGCTAGGTGAGCACTCTACCACTGAGCTACAACCCCAGCCCTGGCTCTATTTCTTATAGCTTCATCTGTAAACAAGGAATGATCCCAAATATCTATTTCATCATGTTATTATGATGATTAAATAACTCTTAGTATAAAGAGTTTGGCATATAGTAGGTGTCTTTGTTTTGTTTTTTTACATTTAAGTTGATTTTTTTCTCATTGTGTACTTTAAAACCATAAGAAAATATTTTTATAAGTTTTCCTTGATTTTAAAATGGTCATGTTTGGTATGGAAAACATTGTCTATACAGCAAAATATTAAAAAGTCAAAACATTTTATCTACAATCATTATTAGCATTTTGTGTATTTCCTGTTATGGTCTTTGCTCCTGAGAAACTTTGTCTATTTTAAAAAGGTAATTCCTATACACAATGAGAGAGGCTACAAAAGGGTAAACAATGAAAAGTAATTCTCCCTTTGACCCTGAACCTAGCCATTAGGTTCCTTTCCTAGAGACTACCAATGCTACCAGGCCTTAAATGGCGCCCTATGGAGGGTCTAAATTTCTAGAAATATCTGTTTAACTTCATATTGTCTTCCTCTCGTGTGAAGCTAGCATGGTGGATATGGTGCCTTACGTTGGAGGCCGCGGTTTAAGAGAGTTTCCTTTTAGCTCTCAGATGTCTTCATGGGCAGGGCCAGATAGGACTCTAGTGGCAAGTTCTGAGGGCTCGGTGATACTTGGTCTCGGTTGTGTATTTTTGTTCTTTGAATTGAAAATCTGCAAACAACTGAACAGGTGTTAGACTTCTGGGTCTCAACCGTTGACACAGTTGCTCAAGCGAGGAGCAGAGCGGTTGGAGCCACAGACAAGGGGACTGAGGCAGAAGTTGTGCTTTCTCCAACTTTACTTTGAATCCCAGGGAAATATTTTCTAAATGGACAGTGGGAAGATGTGGTCTGATATGGAAAGATTATATTTTGCAGTTGAGATCAATTCAGAAAGTCAGGGATGCATGTCTCCAGGATGCTCTGAACCTGAGTCAACTCGGTCCACTCTAAGACCACTCCTGTACCTACCCTTTCCCTCAGAGTCCACAGTCCTATGTCCCTTCCACCCCATATCCTATCACCAGATCTCTCCTCTGCACACTTCACCCCTGCCTGGCCAGATCTGTCCCATACATCCTCTCACCAGAGCCTGCCTTCTCCACCATGCCCTTCCTCTCAGCCTTTCACTTTCCTCTCCTTTCATTAATAGACCTGCCCAAGCACACTGAGAACTCGACTCTTCAAGGGGCCCAGTGGACAAAGAGGGAAGATAGGAGACTGGACTTGATAAAAGCTAAGCTCCATAGAACAACAAATAAGAATGGACTGATGATGCATCTGAGGCAACTCATCTGTAAAATGGGCATTAAATAATATAATGGATATGACACTGCTTTAAAATCTGTAAAGTGCTGTCCAAACACAAAAGATTAAGATTCTCATGAGGATGATGATAAGTTAAACTGGGATATGGAAGCCAATCAATAATTCTACCAATTAATTTTTAACTATTAAAATGATACTAATTCACTTTAGAGGATATATATATGATATATATATGTAATATATATATATGATATATATATGTAATATATATATATATATATAACAAATAAAGATAGGAAAAAAATTCTCATGGTCTAATTAGAGTGTGTGGTTCCTTGGATTACAGTTCTTACTGAATATCTTATCCATCTCTGTGGGACCTGTTTATGTGGGAGGACTATTGTTCCTTTGATGGTGAATTTTGCTGTATGACTTACTGTGGCCAGTTAAGTGTGAATGCAAATAGCACAGAGCCACCACTGAAGCTCTAAGAGCTCTTGTGTGGTTCTGCCATCTTTCTTCCCCTTCTGTCATGAGACCAGCGTATTTCAGTTATGAGCTTTTCCTTCATCTGGGTCCTGGAATAAAGAGCCCTGTGAAGGACATACAGTAACAGTGAGAGATAATCGTTTCTCTTGTGAGCCCCTGAGGTGTGAAGGTTGTTTGCTACTGCAGTATAATCTGTTCTAAGATACCTATATTGATGCACAGGGAAATAACACTGTTAATACTTTAGTCTATTTTTTTCAGTAATTACATCATATATATTTTTCTCTATAAAAATAGACTTGTAAATGAGCATATTATTTGGTGAAATGCTTTTCTCATCTGAACAACTTCAGCATATAATCTTAGAAAATAAGGATTTAAAAGATAAGTATTTTTTCTTAAAATACTCATAATACCAAAATTAATAATACTAAAATTAATAATTTCTTCATATCACCAAATATTAGTCATTATCAACATTTCTCCAACAGTATTTTATTCTTTATTTAAATCAGAGATTTAATTTTGCAGGAGACTTAGTTTGCAGTAGGCTGATATGTCTCTTAAGTCTCTTTATCTTTAGGTTTGCCCTCTCCTTCTCTTTTTGCTCTTGTAAATATATTTGTTGAAGAAACGGAATCAGTTGTCCTGGGGAATTTCCCTCAGTCTGGATTTTGCTGATTGTGTTTTTATGGTGTCACTTAGCATGTTCCTCTTTCCACTGTATTTCCAGTAAATGTTGATAAAACCTAGAGACTTGGGCTAGGGATGTAGCTCAGTAGTAGAGTATTTGCCTTGCATGTGTGACGTCCTGGGTTTGATCCCCAGCACTGCAAAAATAAATAAATAAATAAACAAACAAACAAATAAATAAATCTAGGCTCAATTAGATTCAGTGATAGATTTAAAAGAACTCAATACACTATAAGTATCTTCCACATCATTTATTATCCTATGATAATGTGTTTTTTTTAATGATTATGGAGTTGTTGACTAGAGCAATGTATCATTAATTTATCTAGGCTGTTGTTGGACGTTTTAGTTGTTTCTGCTTTTGCTGCTCTACACAGCTCACTGATAAACATCCTTGTGGCAGTCCACTTTCTGGCCTGATTCGCTCCCTTCTATTCCATTAGTTCCTGCGGATGGTGGATGCCTGCGCCAGCTTCCTCACAGAAGCCTTGAACCCAGAAAACTGTGTTGGAATCCTGAGGTTGGCAGACACACACTCTTTGGACAGTCTAAAGAAGCAAGTTCAGAATTACATCATTCAAAACTTTGTGCAGATTCTGAACTCCGAGGAGTTCCTTGAACTTCCCGTGGACACTCTGTACCACATCTTGAAGAGTGACGACCTTTATGTGACTGAGGAATCTCAGGTGTTTGAGACTGTGATGAGCTGGGTCCGCCACAAACAGTCAGAACGACTCTGCTTGCTCCCCTGTGTTCTCGAGAATGTGCGCTTGCCACTTTTGGACCCGTGGTACTTTGTGGAGACGGTCGAAGCAGATCCTCTCATCAGGCAGTGCCCAGAGGTCTTCCCACTGCTCCAGGAAGCCAGGATGTACCACCTTTCTGGTAATGAGGTGAGTTGGAGATGAGAGATGCTATGTTTAACCAGATTAATTAGAAGATGCTGGGCTGGGGATGTGGCTCAAGCGGTAGCGTGCTCGCCTGGCATGCGTGTGGCCCGGGTTCGATCCTCAGCACCACATACAAAAATGTTGTGTCGGCTGATAACTAAAAAATAATAAATATTAAAATTAAAAAAAAAAGAAGATGCTATACTGTTCAAAGTTTGAGTCAAGAAGTTCCAGAAGCCCTGAATGCCTGATCTGTAAAATGGGGATGATACTACATTTTCAGACAGTTACTGAGAGGATTGGGTGACAGAGGAAACCACCCAGCACCACACCTGATGCATCCTTGCTCTTCTCAATTGTGTGAGAGCAGGAGGTTGGTGAGGGGCAATGCGTACAGACAGGACCGTGCCCTGTCCAGAGACATGCCACTTTCCTAATTTGTCCACTCTGGTGAAACCTTATATCTCTTGGATGGATTCTTATGTTACTTTACCTTGGTTCAGACTTTCATCCTTTGCTTCTCAAACTTCTTGAAAGTTCCTCAGAACTCACCTCCCTGCTCTCAGTCTGGTCTCACACTGATTCATTTCCACCAGTAGGATTATCTAAAACTCAAGTGTGAGCCTCTTGCTCATTGGCTTACCTTCTTCACTGGATCCCCGTCATTTCTGGGGTGAAAACCACCCTTTCTGCCTAACCCCCACCCAGCTTGGCTTCGCTGGCATCATCTCCCCACCTCCCTGTTCTGCTCTAGTCTTGATGTGTTGCTTGTTGTTCTCCAAAGTGGAAGTGTAGTCCAGTCTCCAGGCCAAGGCAGGTGATATCCGAATGCCTTTTTCTTTTTCTTCCTCTAGTCAACTTCCATTCCAACCTCAACACTCAGTTCAAGCATGTTCTTCAGAGACCTATGTGTGTTCTTATAGCATTTGGTGACTTCCTTAATTATAGCACCAGCTGTCATGTGGTAAACCTTGAGTTCTGGATCTGTAAATTCCTTTAGGTAGAGAGCTTGTTATAGTAGGAAATGTAACTTACTGGACTTTTCATCTCCAGATCTTAGAAGCGAGTCTCTGGTGCATAGTGAGTTGGTGGTCAATGTTTACTGAGTGCTTAGACAAATACCAGGATGGTGAATACACAGAGCATCTGGATCTACCTGGGTCTCCTTAACAATTTCTGAAGAATTTTTTTTTATTTAAAACTTTATAAATGTGAGAGCAAGTGTATTACAGAAGAACAAAACTGGCAGGAAGTATTGCTATAGGGACATCTTGATAATGATTTGTACACATGCAGACCCATATATACATGTGTCACTATACAAGAGTTCTGAGATTAGCCACCAAGCCTTCTTTGTTACACCATTGGGGAAAACTTTACTCAAAGGTAGCTCAGCAATCATTTGTCTGAGGCTCCTCTGGCTCTTCCCCCCACCCCACCATGTGTCTTTTTCTAGCTCTCTGTCATTCTTAGATCCACTTTTTATTCATTCATTCTGGAAATGTTTCCTTAAATATTTGGTAGAATTTACCAGAACCTGAAATTTTCTTTCTGAGATTCTTAAAATTACAAATAGCATAATTTTCATAGATACAGTTCTATTCAGGTTATTCATTTCTTTTAGAATGAGCTTTGGTAGTTTGTCTTTCAAAGAATTGTTTCACTTCACGTAAGTTGCTGAGTTTTTTAGCATACAATTATTCATAGTATTCTCTTATCACCCTGTTATTATTTATAGGATCTGTTGGGATATCCAATCTCTCATTCCAGATATTGGAACTTCATATCCTATTTTTTGTTCCCCTGAACAGTTTGGATAGAGGTTTATCAATTTTATTGATTTTCTCAAATAGCTAACTTTTGGTTTTATTTTCACTATTATTTTTCTATTTTTTAAAATTTATATATTTCTACTATGATCTTGATTATTTTCTTTCTTCTGCTTATTGTGGATTTAATTTACTCTTCTAGTTTATTAAGGTAGGAGCTGAGAACACTGGTCTTGAGGTTTTTTTCCCCTTAATATTAGCATCAGTGCTGAAAATTTCCCCATAAGAATTACTTTTACTCAAACCATATATTTTATAATGCTGTGCTTTCATTTTTCACAGATAAATCTTGAACATCAACTTATGTCTTAGTCTATTTTGTGTTGTTATAAAAAATAACTGGAGGCTGGTAATTTAAAAATTAAAGAGGTTTATTTGGCTAATGAGACAGTCTCTGCCTCACTAACCTTTTGGTCTGACAGAGTCATTGGTACAATTAGACTATGGGAGAAGCCCAGATCACCACCCACATAGGTCCTTTCCCATAGTGGATATGTGGGAACTTGGCAGATAATTCACACAGGGTATCATACAACTGCAGAAAGGTTTCTCTTAGGTCAATTTAAAGTACAGAGTCTTGGCTAACTGTACTTCCAATATTCTATACTTGAACATGGTAGTTACTTTTGTTTCTACCTGCTATTTTCTAAGACCTTAAGATACAGGCAATAAAGGTTTTCCTCTCATATAGAAAGTCTCTATCCTGTTGTCTGCAAAAATTATTATAATTACACATCTTCACTGTCTTTTGTGTTTTCAAGGTCCAGAGGGTGGGGTGGGTGGTGAGCAGATATGGGTTTTAATATAACTGTACAATTTATTGACAGTGTAATTTCAGGCAAACTACTTTGCTACTCTAAGGCTCAGTCCTAATCTGTAACACAAGGATAATAATATCTAACAAGAGACAGAACTGTTTTAAAAATTGAATAAAATAATAAATGAAATGTGCATAGTACAGTGCTTAGTACAGTGTCTAGTGTCTGATAAGTGTCCCACAGATGGAAGCTGGTGTTATTCTCACTCAATTCCTTTATGGTTGCTCTGTCTCTCACAATCAATAATTTTCTTCTCTGGAACTCAAATCTCTTGTTTCACTGGTCTCAGTCTTTTGCTGCCTTATTTCTTCAAATCCTGAACAAGGCACTTTCTCATTTCCACATTTTATATTCTGGACAACTGAATCAATCACAGATCTCCAAATTGGGTCTCATTGCCAGTTGGTCTCTTGAACTGTAATCTACGCACTGCTTGAATGATCTTGGGTTTATTCCTGATGGTAGTAGAGTGAATTTGGAAGTTACTCTTGTGAATACACTCCTCCACTAAACCTTCATTTTCAACCTTCATCTCTTCTTCCCTAGAATCTTCTCCATTTTGTAGGCTGGTGGTAATGATAGAAATTTTAGAATCTTAAAAGCAAATGTTGATCTATATTTTGTTTAAAAGTAGTAGCTGGAACCTTCATTGGAAGAGGTTTTTTGTTTGTTTGTTTGTTTGTTTTAGGACAGAAAAAAGTTGCCTCTTCATTTAATTGCTTTCTAAGTTTCCAGAGACTAAGTTGGTCTATTACAAAGGTTTTTCTGACAAGTATGATATGGGAAGATGCAGGCAGAGGCTCACTCTTGAGGACAGCTTTGTTGACCAATATGGTCATTTCTATTTTTCCTCAAGTATAACTCTGTGAACAATGAGCAATTAGTCAGGTACAACTGTTCATTTTGGTTTGTTTGTTTGTAGTACTGACAATTGAACCTAGGCAAGTACTCTACCACTGAGCTATATCCCTAGCCCTATCTGTTCTGTTTTTAACAATCTGAAGTTAAACTGGTTAGACCTGATCATTGAGTGCAATTCATTGGAAAATATTTATGTAAGTCTACAACAAACTTTCAAATCTCTGACTTCAAACTGACATCTTTCAAGCCTTGGGGTTTAATATTTTACCAAATTTGCAATTTGATGATAGTGCCCGCACTCAGCACTATTAAGTTACAAGCTTAGTTACAAGGCAATTCTCAATATCCAACCAATCACATCACCAAGATGATTGTATTAGTTAATTGTATTAGTTATCAATCATTGAAAAACAAACTACCCCCAAACTCAACTGTTTAAAACAAAACAGACAGCTGGTGGAGCCCGCTTGAAGAACACTTGCCTAGTATGTGCAAGGTTCTGTATTCAACCCCCAGCACTGTAAAAAAAAAAAAATTCAAACAGCAAACATTCTCAAGTCCTGGGTGGGGTTAGGCTGAGTATTTCTGATGCAAGATCCCTTACCAGGATGTAGTCATGTTGCTGGGGCTACAGTAGTTTCAAAGTTCAAGTGGAGTTGTAGGACACACTTTAAGCTAACTCACAGAGTTGTTGGTGGGCATCAGGTTTTTTTATTGGCTGTTGGCTGGAGGCCTTGGTTTCTTGCCATGTGGGAATCTCCATGTCAGCTGACTTCCCTCTGAGAATGAGAGAGCAACCAAAATGGAAGCTGTCATGCCCCTTGAAGCCTGATGGACCATCATTGCTGCTCTACTACTCATCATAGAGATCAATTCTGGAACAGTGTGATGAGAACTACATAAGGTGTGATTACTGGAAAGCAGGGATCACTGCGGCCATTGTGGAGGATGGTTACCATAATAATTTAGAATGGAAAAAATAATCCATGTAAGGGGCTGGGTTACCTAACTTGCCCATCTATCCATCCATCCATCCCCCTATTCACTCATTCACCCTACGTGTATAGAAACCCATAAGCTCCAGTTGTTGGTGTTGAAACCCACAATTTTAGTTTACACCAATATTTGACATTCAGGAGCAAAGAATACCCTGTCAGCCCTGGGAGCCAGGAAGTAAAGCCATTGCCAGTCCAGGTCCCCATCAGCCTCCACTGCCCAGAAGGTTGTTGAGGCAGGAGAGTATAAGCCTGGTGGATAAGACAGGAAGCTTCCAAGAGAAGGCTGAGGCCTGGTTGTCAGAATTGAAATAAGAGTCACAGAGGAACCAGTTCTGAAGGATGATGCTGTCCTTTACACAAAACCCAACCACACCTAAATCTCCTCTGAAAGAGGACTAGATTGGTGCTGGATGTTGTGTCTCAGACGTAGGTAGGGGAAATTTAGGGACAGGAACTAGGGTTGGTAGCTGGAAGGAAAGTTGCAAAATGTCAAAGTTTGTCTTTGGTGCCAACTCATTGCTTAGATCTGTCCTGCTGCTTTGGTGCCTTCAACTGACTCCAAGTTCCCTGGAGCATCCCTCCTGACCTTCCTACTTTCTACTGTTGATGCCCTCAGGCTCAGCCCATTGCTTAGGGTTTGTCCTGCTGCAAACTCTATGGCCATGGTCCAGTCTCAAGAATTTATTGGAGCTGGTTCTTTGGCACAGAAAAACAAGGAAATAAAGACTCATGGAAAAGTCAAGATTGGGTGTACTGTGGTCATTGAATTCACCCTGTAAGGACTCAGTCTTTGGTAATGTAACCAATTTGTCAACACCAGTAAGCAAAATCAAAGTTCTATAACTGTGTTAGATCAGCCTAACTTTGTAGGAAACAGTGGCTGCTTTGGCGGTGGACAAGGGGGCACTACCTCTCTGACTCTCATCAGTACGCCCAAGGAATCTCCCCACTGAGAACCAAGGATGGGATGCAACCAGGAAGAGGCAGCTCTTCCTTTCTTAGTGATAGCCATTGACATCTGCTACTGCTCCCACAAACAGGACAATCTGATGAGGGTTGTGTATGTGCCAGGTGCCCCACTCTACCTCATGACATCAAGAGTGTCCACAATGACCTAAAGACACAGAACCAGTAACAAGCATTTTACAGAGACTGTATCACTTCTCCAAAGTCACATGGCCACAGGGGATGGAAGCCCAGTGTACTTGACCTTCAAACCCCTGGTTTTACAACTAGATTCAAATACCTGTAGTGTGGAGTTTCTTATTCAAGTCTCTGAAGGGTCATAAACTGTGTAAGGACCAGTTCCCCAGCCTCTCTGGCTCTGCTTCTTTTTCCTCCTAAGTTTCTGCTCTATATGTCACTGTAAAGGACTTTCCTTCCAAAAGGAGGTTGGTGGAGAGCAAAATCTGAGATATTAAGAAATTGAAATCAGGGGAACTGGGAAATAGCCCGAAATTAAATTCAAGAATTTAAGGCTTCAGACCAGGTAGGAAGCATGGGAGAGGGCAGTAAGTACATTTGATGGCAAATAGACCCTGTCTTCTTAAAACAGAATAAAAGAAAACCCAATAGATAACATTTATTGAGTACACATTACACACCAGGCTCAAGAGTAAGCACACTCAAGCTACTTAATTCTCACAACAAACTCATAAGGTAGTTAACACTAAAATCTCCATTGTATAGATGACACAGAGGCACACTGAGGTGAAGTCACATGGTCATACATACAGATTTTGGAATTGGGACCTGCTCCATATGGCTTCACAGCCTGAGCTGTGCTTCATCATGTTATTCTGCCTATATGTCCCCCCCATTGATTTTCAGATCATTTCGGAGCGCACCAAGCCCAGGATGCACGAATTCCAATCTGAGGTGTTCATGATCATTGGTGGCTGTACAAAGGACGAACGGTTTGTGGCAGAGGTAACCTGCCTGGATCCCCTGAGGCGCAGTCGCCTGGAGGTGGCCAAGCTCCCATTGACTGAGCATGAGCTGGAGATTGAGAATAAGAAGTGGGTGGAGTTTGCATGCGTGACATTAAAAAATGAGGTCTACATCTCAGGTAAGCAGGAGCCATGTGGAGCCAAAGCAAGCCCATACTCCGTGAAAGCATGTCACATTTTCCCAAGTGAAAGCCAGGGAACCATCCTATGAGAATGACTGTGAGTTGGCAATGATGTAACTCTGACTGGGTCAGGTCATGGAACCAGGAGCTCAGGTAGTCTTACCTGGAGAGTGCATTATTAATTAATAAACTCCAAAACGTGAGCAGCATTGTACTGGGATCTAGGGGAGCAGGCAGACAGGTCCAGTCCTTCTGGGAAAAGGAAGAAGAGATACCAGGGTTTATTCAGGGTCTGCTACAAGCTAGCATAGGACTCTGAACCAGGTGTGGGAATATAGTAAGGAATGAAAACCTCTGCTCTTCTCCCAAACCTGACCCCCTCCTAAGTTTATTAGGTCATATTTTGAAAGACTTTGAAGTAATATGAAAAGCATACATTTTTTCTTGCTAAATTGTCAATTATTCACAATTACTTTATGGCTGACTTCAATTAGACCTGAAGTTGCCATGCAAGTCAACACTATGTCCCCAGCCACTAGCATTATGCCTGACTTCAGAGTAAACACTCAATCAATATTTATTGAATGACATAGTCTCAACATTTTTTATTGCATAGTAGATGAATCTACTTTAATAACATTTAATCATTTGCTCTCACATTGATTCTGTAAGGTAGATAGGATAAAACCGAGGCTCAGAGAGGTTCTAGAATATAACTAGGGTCACACCCTGGTAGGTGTCAGGCAGGATCCCAACCCAGGTGCTGAGCCTGAGTCCCAGGCTCTCATCCTCACATCAAAAAACTCAACCCTACTTGGGACCCTAGGAAGAGTTGAGCATCCCTTCCCACCCTTGGAGGCTTTTCTGCAAATGAACTTGTTTGGGAAGAGCAGCTTCCCAAGCTGGTTTCCTCCAAAGTGAAGGGCAAGTCTGCTCTTCTTTGTATATATTCATACCATCGATTAGGTTCTAGTTTTATTTTATATTGTAGAAATATTTGTAATTGTTATAGAAAATTCAAACAATACAAATATAGAAAATAGGTACTTTCTCTGTGCCATTATCATTCTATATTTTTACAAAAATAGTGATATTGTTTTGGGGTAAGTAGTATTAGTGATGTAACAATCCTAAATCTCAGTGAATTAAGATGATAGAATGTGGGAGTGAGGGGAGGGGTCCATCTGCTTCCACTCAGGCCCTCAGGGACCCAGCCTTCTTCCATCTTGTGATGCTTCCATTTCCCACATGTGGCCTTCATTTAGGGAAGACAGAGAAACCCAGTGGGTTGAGAAGGCACATGTCCTCATAAAAGCCTCTCAGCCTGGAAAGCGCACCTCGATCCCGCTCACATTCCATTGGCAAAGACTAGCTGTGTGCCCTTCTCTCCCAGCATACAGGTGTCCTAGGAAATGTCATTTAGCCTTGTGTGGGGGGAGGGAGTGGGGAACAGGGTTGGTGGTCATAATCCATCTTTGCCATTTATACAGCACGTTATTCTACCACGGTCCTTTTCCTCTTGAATTTATTGTTCATTTTAAAGTGATACCAGCAGTACATGCAAGCATGCTTGTCCACACAGTTAAATCAACAGAAACGTGTACTTCCATTAGCAGTATAACCTGGGTATCGTTACATGTTGGCACAATGGATATATGTATGTTAAGTGACATACTACATGTCAGCTACATGGTGAGAGCTCCATGAGACCTATCATTTTCACCAGTGCTTTTCCCTTCTTTGGTAGTGGGGATTGAACCCAGGGATGCTTTACCTCTCAACTACATCCCCAGGCCTTTAAATTTTTTATTTAGAGATAGCATCTCACTAAGTAGCTGAGACTGGCCTCTACCTCGTGATCCTTCTGCTTCAGCCTCCTAAGTTGCTGGGATTATAGGAGTGTGTTACCAGGCCTGACACCACTGCTCTTCTTTTTGCCAGCTGTAAAGCAGTCTATTGAATGAAAAAAAAAAAACCCCATCATTTTTTACAACTTTCTTTTAAAAAATCTCTTTGAGGGGAAAAAACCCACTCCAGTAGGCATTCTTAAACACTTAAACTTTATATACTTGTGCTCCTCTTTGGAAAGTTCCTGGAAGCAGTCAGAAGGTCTGTGAATAGAGAAATTTGGTATATATTGCTAATTGTCCTCCAGAAAGTTTGTATCAATTTGTTGTTCAATCAGTGTTGGATGACAGTGCCCATTTTCAACATCCTTGCTAACAATTTTTATTATCAATCATTTACATTTTTAATTGACTAAATGTTTAAATTTATACTTTTGGAGCATTGGTGAGGTTGGACATATTTTTACATAGTTATTAGCTAATTGCATTTATTATAAAAAATTATCTGTTTATACTCTTGGGCTGTTCTATTGATTGTTGTCTTTTTCTTACTAATATTTGGGAGGTCTTATTATGTATCCTTTGCCTTTTCTGTTGCAAACAGATAATGGTTGTCTTTTTAACTTTGATTTATATTTATATAGTCATTTTCTTTCCTATATAATTCCGAGTTTCATGTCATGCTTAGAAATCTTCTCCCTGTCTGCCAGGACGGTGGTGCATGCCTATAATCCCAGCGGTTTGGGAAGCTAAGACAGGAGGATTGTGAGATTGAGGCCAGCTTCAGCAACTTAGCCAAATCCTAAGCAACTCAGCAAGATCCTGTCTCTAAATAAAATATAAAACAGTGAGGGGGGATGTGGCTCAGTGGTTAAGTTTCCCTGGGTTCAATTTCCAGTACCAAAAAAAAAAAAAAAAAAAAAAAAAAAAAAAAAAAGAAATCTTCCCCCCCTCCCCAAGATTATTAAGATGGTTTCTTATATATTCCCCAATTACTTTTACAGCAGTTACATTTGACTTTTATTTTAAATGTAATATGAAATCGGTATCTAACTTAATTTTTCTCCAAATGAATAGAAATTGTTCTAATAACATTTATTAAATAATTCTATATATTTTAGTCCTGTTTGTATCCTTATTATTAATTAATCAGTTTGTCTACTTTTGTGCTCATACTGTAGTGTTTTTATTTTAATAAAAGCTTTTAAGCATATTTTAATATTTGCCGAGGAAAGCCTACTTCATTCTTTTTTTTTTCAAATATTTCTTAGAAGTTTTTCCAGTGATGAATCACTTGCCTAGCATGTGCAAGAAGGCCCTGGCTTTCCTCCCCAGCACCGGAAAAACAACAACAACAACAACAACAACAGTTTTTGGAAAAATATACTTTAAATTGGCCTTCAAGGAGCCAATCAGAGTGACTGTGCATTTGGAATGAGTGTGCAGCTCAGTAGTAGAGCACATAAAAGCCCTGAAAAACAAACAAAAATACCAAAAAAAAAAAAAACATCCTAAATTTTCTTTTCTCAGTGAAATTTAAAATTATCCTGTAGAGTTCCCTTTAAACAGTCCTTCAGGCACTGAGTATGCAGATCCCCTGAGGGAGGGTTGGTATCCCTGCAATAACATGTCTCCACACCCACGCATACACTATGCTTTCCAGTTAGTCAGATTGTCTTTAAAATCCAGAAATAAAATCATAGAGCTTTTTTCCTATTTTAAATAAAGATTGCATATATTCTCTGAAAGTTTATACTTACTTTATAATCTTTGACATTACCGAAATGGGATCAATATCATACTGTTTTGAATAGAGACTTCTAAAAGGTATATGAGCCAAAGGAAAAATGGTCAGAGTATAATGAATAAGAAATTCAGAGAATGGAAGTTCAGCCTCCCTTAGAGTCAGGAAAAACCAAAGTGGGATAGCAGAGAGAGGAGCAGGGGGACTCTCCCCTGCCAGCTGTGGGTGGGACACGAGGAAAGGTCACAGCTTCCCAAAGATGCTTGGTGTGTGCTCATGCCTCTGACCTAGAAATCCCACTTTAGGGTTCCACCCTATAGAAACACTTAAACCTGTGACCCAGAACATTGTCAGTGATATTTTTCTTTGCCCCACTAGTGCACATTCATAAGTCTGATAAATATAGTCTTTTGCTTCAAGCAGTTGGTGATGCTGCATGCTGGTGGAGAAATGGAAACATAAAGATGTTTAAATGTTTTATTAAAGTCACCCCAAAAGGCAGCTCTCCTTTGTCTTGGTCTCTCTCACTAACTGCTGAATTATGTATTTTCTGTTTATCAAAAGAGTTGTCTTCAATATTGACCAATTCACTCTCAAATGAACTATAGTGAGAACTTCTTACTTTATAACAAAAATTAATTTTAGAAAAGGGCAAGTCCCACTTGTATTTTTACTAGATCAGAGCTATGAACCAAGAGAACTTTGTAAGATTTCTTGCTGATTTTTCCAAATTTGTGTCTTTGCTGTTTTGTTTAAACTTAGAACTTAAGCTGCCTTCTAATTTACCAGGTGATCAAGGTCCTGCCATCTCTGCCAGGTCTCACTCCCTGCTCCTTGTGGGCAAAAACACAGAGTCCAGGCTCCCTCTGCCTCCCCACTCACCCAGGTTGAACTCCAGTGGCACTGATGTGGCACTGCACACCATGAGGCCATGGCTCCCCTCCCAGCCCACCCACCCCACCCCCCCACCCCCAGATCCCTGTATTTGCTTTGTCTCCCCCGAGTCTTGCCATAGACCATATTCACCTTCAGGATTTCTCTTGTCTCCCCTTGGAGTGAGGCTGGCATGAGGATTTAGCGCTTTAGGAGTTCTAAGAAATGATGGGAGAAGCTGCATTTCTGACTCATCTGGTGGTTTCTTAAATGTTTTGTTACTTCTTATAGGTGGCAAAGAAACACAGCACGATGTTTGGAAATACAATTCTTCAATCAACAAGTGGATTCAGATTGAATATTTAAACATCGGCCGCTGGAGGCATAAAATGGTGGTGTTGGGTGGCAAGGTCTATGTCATTGGAGGTTTTGATGGCTTACAGAGGATCAACAATGTGGAGACCTACGACCCCTTCCACAACTGCTGGTCGGAGGTATGGGAGATTATTTCTATGACTAACTCTATCTGTATTATTACTTCAGAGCTTAAAAAAAAAAAGACACGTGCCTATGATGGTGGCCAGCATTTTGATTGCCTTGCTCCTATGGAGAACATTTTTGGTGGCTCTGAACATTCCTTTCCCTAGGAGTCAGGGCTTCAGCATTGCTGATCAAGTCAAAGCAATAATGTCCTTCCAGGTGGGGAGGCTTTCTCTGGGCAGTCAGAGCCCTCTATGTGGAGGCTGTGGAGGGGAGGCTTACCCTGCCCTGAGATGGTAGATCCCATGGTCACATGTCTGGCCCAGAGTCTTGTCCCCTCAGATGCATTCCATGAGATTCGCCTCCACACCAGGCATGCGGGCGTCCGCGCACACTGCACTGTTTGTGAACCCAGAGTCATTTGGTCATATTTAGAAGTCAGCCATTATTTATTTCCCCATTAATGATGAACCATGTACATGCCCAGATGTAAGACTCTCAATGTGACCTCAGGTGTATGTCATACTCAGGAAAAGTAAAGTGACTTCGCTTCCTGTAGTTCCAGATTATTCTCAAGTTCAAATTTTCTTTCTTCTCATCAGAGCATATTCCAGCTTTGGGAAGTATAAAACACAGTCACTGTAGAAAGCAAAGGTCCCCAGATCACCATAACATCCAAAAAAGGCCTGTCAATCTGAAAAGTGCTATATAGGGAGCCCTTAACATCTCTGGGGGTGTGCCCAACATGTTCCCCAATCATCAAGTCCCATCACAAAGTTACTCCATGACTCAAAGAGGTTATACAATTCTTTTTAGTATCCTGGGATTTACAAGGTAGAAGTACAAGTCTGTCTTAATCCCCAAAGTTGCAATGTGCCCTCAAATGGCTGGTTAAACCCATATACTAGCTTTTATTCCTGGATATAAACACTAAAGACAATCAATGCTGTCACATAGTAGACACTCAGATATTTTCTGAATGAACATGTAAATGAATATATATGTTTGAAAAATCATTTTCCTCCAACATTGGCTGACTTCATCTATATAACACTAATTTCTGCCTGTACCCTCTCCTTCCTTGAGAACTAGACTCGGGAAAACAGGTGGGAACATCCCAACACACAGCTTGCCCTAGCCTGCCTATATGGAGGCTGGGAAATGCATCCCATCTCTTCGCATCTTAAGAAGAGTCAAGCCCACGGGCCTTGTCAGTTCAGGAGAAGGATGCCCAAGTTTGCATCCCAGAGCATATGTCCTGTGAGTTCTTCCAGCAATTTAGGCAGCATAGCTGACACCTTTTTCTTGTGCCCCATGCCTCTGCAGGCTGCACCCCTCCTTGTCCATGTCAGTTCCTTCGCCGCCACCAGCCACAAGAAGAAGCTCTATGTGATTGGGGGAGGGCCTAATGGAAAACTGGCCACGGACAAAACTCAGTGTTATGACCCTTCCACCAATAAATGGACTTTAAAGGCAGCCATGCCTGTGGAGGCTAAATGCATCAATGCAGTGAGTTTCCGGGACCGCATCTATGTTGTTGGTGAGTGAGTGACGGCTTTTTATTTATCTGAGGTCCCCCTTCATGCAGCTATGCCAGAGATCAGATATAATTCTCTTGAGAATTCCTGGATAAAGTGGGTGAAGCTGAAAAGGAAGAAAAGTTGGGGTTGGTTCAGGTCTTGGTGGATTTTCCTTTACAGTCCTAGAGGCAGAATAAAAACTGTTTAGGGGTAACAAAACAGATGGATACTGTGGCCCAGAGGAAGAGGCCTGAAGTCATTGCAGGAGGAAAGTTGTTTTGTAAACATTAGGAATATATAAAAGTTGAAATGTGCATGGTATAATAAGTGCCCAACCAGTGGTAGCTATTATTACTTCTTAGTTTGTGTTCATGGAAATTTCTCTCTCGCTGCTTTTTAGGGGCTCTGAAAAGTTACATTTAGTTGAGAGAAAAGTCTAGCCAGCCAGACCACAGTTGGCATGTAGTTGTTAAGGATGGTGGCTCCCAGTTAGAATAACCAGAGAGCTTTTGAAAAAAATATGGGTAACTGGTTCTTACCTCTGACCAATGAAATCAGAATTCAGGAGGGAAGGAGGTTGCTGGGGAACAGTACAACTTTTTTTTTTTTTTTTAATCTCCTGGTGATTTTAATGAGCAGTCAGGGTAGACAACTACTGATGAAGGAGATGCCAAGATGCCAGGAAATAAATAACTTCAGTGAATGAGAGCTATTCAAAGAAGGTATTTGGGGGCAAAACATTGGAACAGATTAAGGGGAAAACACTTTTCTCCCTTGCTTTAGATTTCTCCTGTGTTCATGGTTAGTTTCCTGACTGTTCCAAAAGTCTAAACTCAAGATGGTTTCCTTGGGCTTGTGTCTCAGATCATGCTGAGTCTCTGAAGAGATGCCAACCCGGCTACTGCCAGGGATGGATGATTTCTATCAACCAGTGCTCTACTGGATGCTTTATGTGCATCTTAGAACCACCATGGTCTTGGTGCCCATGGTAACAGAATAAAAAGTGCAGAGCTGGGATTATGGACCACATCTTCCAAAGGCACCATGTTTCTTCCCAGGAGCAGTCTTAAGGTACATTTTGTTAGCTACCTTAAGCCAGTTGTTCTTTAGAACCAGGACTGCAGAATTGGAAGGACATTGTAAGTCATCTCGGTGGCAACTTTGTCCTCCTAGGATCCATCCTGGCTTTCTAGGAAAGGGCCATCAATCCACTGTTTCTCTTGGCAAGATGGGAGTCCTGCCCTAACCAGAAGTAGAATTTTAGTGGCTAACAGGATAGAAACCCAGAAAAATGGTAGGATGCTTCCCCTGTGTGTTCTTCCTCTCCAGGAGGGGCCATGAGAGCGCTGTACGCCTACAGCCCTCTGGAGGACAGCTGGTGCCTGGTGACGCAGCTCAGCCACGAGCGGGCCAGCTGCGGCATCGCGCCCTGCAACAACCGGCTCTACATCACGGGAGGGCGGGACGAGAAGAACGAGGTCATCGCCACAGTACTGTGCTGGGACCCCGAGGCTCAGAAACTGACGGAGGAGTGCGTCCTGCCCCGAGGGGTGTCGCACCACGGAAGTGTCACCATCAGGAAGTCCTACACCCACATCCGGAGGATCGTGCCTGGAGCTGTGTCTGTGTGACTGACAAGGGACCCTGGAGGGCGCCATGGGGAGCACTTAGTTCTACCTCGCGCCCTTCATCCGTGTCCACCCGGATTGGGCTCAGCTTGTGTTTAAGGGAGCCACCCGGCTTGCTCTGGGACACCTAGCAAGTCACAACTTTGGAACACTTGAAAATGGCCAGGAATGTTTGCATGACCTACCTCAGGAGGAAGGCGGGAAGAAGAGTAATATTTAACATTTGCGACACTTCTACCCTATGCCAGGTCTTTTTCTATATTAACTCATTTAACCATGGGAATGACCGCCTGCTGGGATATTGTCACTCTAGTCTGAGAGGAAACTGAGTTTCAGAAAGGTCAAGTGGCTTGCCCCAGGGTACTCATTTAGCAAATAGCTAAGCCAGGAGTATAAACCCAAGTCTTTCCAGTTCAAAGCCAATGTCCTCCACACCATGTGCCTGAGGGGAGGAAAATCAAAACCCAAACCTGACTCGGGTCTTGTTCTGGCCAGTCTGTTAGAAGATTGACTCAGCAAAGCAGGGAAATAAAAGTGTTTCTTTTTCCTTTTTTTCTTTTAACTCCTGTATTTAAACCTTATGAAATCCTTAGTGTTGGAGCCTTTGGGGGCTTTTATCAAGAGTGTCTCTCTCATAGGCCATCCCACTTGACAGGGGAGGCAGTTCTGGGAAGACCAGTTTGTATTGAAAGAGATAAAAAGTTTTGTGTTCTGTTCTCCTGGCACCAAGCATTTCTTTTTTATGGTCACTGGATGGCCTATTTTGGACTTGAACTGACATTGCCAGATGGAATTACCTTCACCACAGTCTGGTGCCTGGACTCTTAATGTCCAGCAGTTGTACTGTAATGTAGAAAAGAGGTTTCCAGAGACTCAAACTATTGTTTTTTAAATATGTAAACATCTCAACACTGCTGGCCACTGCAGGAATGTCAGATTCTTCTTGACAGTGTACTTTCTACTTTAAGACAGTGATCTGGACCCACTCACCTGTAGTTTTCAGGCTCTTTTAAAACCTATTTTCTTGAGTTTTGAATAAGCTTGGCTCAATTTTGATTCTAAGAACAGAGTCTGCCCTTCACGCTAAGAAAAGAGCTTTCAAATGAGCTCACTGGAAAATCATTCTAATCCCCAAGATGGAGAAACAGGTTGAGAGATCCTGTTTCACACGCTGTAGTTAAAAACATAGCAATTGCATTACCCCAGGTACTTTATTTTCATTGTATGATTTCAGTTCTCTTTATAGAGTTTTAGTTCATGTCAGAAGGGGCATATTGTGCTTGTACTTCTCAGTGGTTTGGGAAGTCAGAGGTATTAGAGTTGATAGCGAACTTATTTACAGGAAAAAAGTTAAGGTCAAGTCAAGTGTGGTGGTCTAAGTCTGTAATCCCAGGGACTTGGGTGGCTGAGGCAGGAGGATTGCAACTTCCAGGTCAGCCTAGGCAACTTAGTGAGCCCCTGTTTCAAAATAAAATTAAAAGGGTAGGGATGTACTGAGTGGTAGAGCACCCCTGGATTCAATCCCCAGTTCCACAAAGGGGAAAAAAAAAAGTTATGGTCAGAAGAACCTAATGTTGTAAACATATATTTAAAACTTGGAAAATTATATCTCTATTTATGTCTAGCTTTTTGAAAATGATTTATATAAATACATGTTGGTGTGTAAAATGCTCTGCCTTAGGGTCAGGTGATCTATTCCCTGAGAAGAAAAGTAAGACGGGACAATGCACACATACTTATGGATATTGAGAACACACTGTCATGCACCACAAGCTCTAGTGACCTTCACGAAGCTCTCAACTGCAACAATTTAATCTAGTTCAGCAATGTTATCTAGTTCAATGCATGTTTCTCAATCTTGGAACATCAAATCTCTACCCGAGAGACCTCAATAAATGGGTAAATGGGCTAACAATCAATATTCTAATTTTTCTTTTCTTCAAGTTTGCCAAAAATGAGATGCATACTTATGAGGCTGAGTCCAAGACTTGATTGCCTGTCAAGGGGGTCTCTTCTGAGAGCTGTGCACTTAGGTCAACTAGTGGTGATTGCTTACATGTTTGTCTCTTGCAGATCACTGTCTGAGCCATTTGTGACTTACAGGAAAAATCAGTCCTAGTCCAAAGGCCATTTCAGGGAAGAGATTCCAAAGAGGAAATCCAATGACAACATCACTGGCACACAACTCTCAGCAAGAGAATGTTCCTTGCCAGGGATCCAATAGGGACTGTCCTTTGATAGAAGCAATCAGCAAACTTACAGTTCTTTGGAGGTGTGTGTGTGTGTGTGTGTGTGTGGGCGGGGGGTTAAGATAGTGCTGGGAAAGTCTAAGTTATAAACCTGATTTTAAATGCAGTTCTGAAGTTTCAGGGGTAATTCAGAATGTCTAAGTGCACATAAGGGGAGGAGTCTCTATGATTTTTGTAACACCAATAAACACGTGAATTGTGGTAAAGTTACAGGTATTCAAGATCCAGGAGTTCTTAATAATAACGTGGGTCAGGGGACAGATTTACCTATTAAGAAGATCTAGAGTGGTGCATGCCTGTTATCCCAGCAGTTCGGGAGGCTGAGGCTGAAGGATTGAGAGTTCAAAGCCAGCCTCAGCAAAAGCGAAGTGCTAAGCAACTCAGTGAGACCCTGTCTCTAAATAAAATTCAAAATAGGGCTGGGGATGTGGCTCAGTGGCTGAGTGCCCCTGAGTTCAATCCTTGGAAACCCCCCCTCCAAAAAAATGATCTACTGTTCTGCATTTGAAGCTGCCAGCCTGTAGCTTTTAGGAAAGGAAAAAAAGTTCAAGTCATTTTTGGGAAACTTTGCAAGTATAGTCATCAGAGTTTAAGCTTCTAGGCACTATAAGATCTTAAAATCTATTTTCCATTCCAAGTTAATAAAACAAAACCCCAAGTTTGCACCAAGTTAACGGTTATGTACCACCAGTATGGGAGAGCAAGCTGAGGCTAACCCAGAAACAACCCCAGGACTCAGAGGGGGAATAGAAGGAGGTTCTGCCACAGTTGCATGTTGAGGCAGGGCCTCTACATGGATAGTCATGGTAGAGGAGGAGGATGTCAGGTTTTGAAGATGAGGGTCTAGAAAATGATATTGTGGCCCAGGAGTTTGTGAGCGTGACTCCAGTCCCAAGAAGGGCAATAAAGAATAAAGGAGCAGGGGACTTGCACACAAGGAAACAAAGAGGGAACCTACTTCCTAGAACTGAGGCACAAGTTAGAGCAGGGCCAACAGTTGGGGCAATTTGCTGTGGGGCCTATGAGCTGCCTGGTTGGGTCTTGCATCCTAATGGAGATAACAAGACCCAGAGCCTTTGATGGAGTAGAATCTGTAGAAGAGGTTAAGGCTGGTCAAGGCTGGTCTGACAGGCAGGGAGTTAAGCTCACCAAAACACTGACAGATAAATGTCTTCTTTTTTGCTTTCAGCCATTCTGGTCTCAGTGGTTTCAGGAAACACACACATGTACAAACTCGATGTCCTTGAACTCAAAGTAACCATGCTCTCAGGGAAATAACAATTATCATTCTCAACAGTCTTTTATAGCTGTGAAAGCATAGCTTTGCTATTTATAAAAGTTGAGGTAGTAGTGTTCATTCTTTACTTGTCCCATTTGATTTTGAAAAATAAAAGTACTCCATAATTTTTAAAATGAGTAGACATCAATGGATTTTTTTTTTTGTATGAAGTCCTAATTTGGGCTTGCAAAGTCATTTTTTCTTCTAAGCGTTAGATCTCATGATTCAAAGAGTCAACTTCCATGTAAATTCCCATATGTCTCAAATATAGATACTGCAAAGCCAGTCCTGACAGGCCAGATTTTTATATTTATAGGCGTAAATAGTGAACCAAACCATTTAAGCATTTTTGGTTTCATGAGATTGTAGTTTTTTTAAGTGATCAAAGCAAGGATGTTGTTTATAGGTTAAAGAAGTTTTAATTTATTCAATAAAATGTGTATGGAATGGATAAGAATGTGTTGTATATAATCAGTGATTTTTTTTACTTCTTTTGGTTGATATAAATAAATACTATCTGAATTGAAATTAAATGTAGTTGGTGGGAATTTAAAATGTTTCAGTAAATCAAGAGAGTTTAGATTAATGCAGAAGACAACATTCACCAAGTTTGCTTTGTAGAATGGTTAACAGTACAGTTTTTCCCTCCCTAAATCCACATTGCCTCTCTGAGCAAGCTTTCCCAACTCATTTGCAATTTATGCGACTTTCATCCTGCCTGGCTTCACCCCCTCTTACAGGATGCCCTCTTTTAGGTTTTGATTCCAGATCTGACTTCTAAGCCCTCTACCAGTGTCTTCCCTGTCATCTCTGAGGCCCCAACCAACCCCGCTCTTTTGGCATCAGTATATGAGATGGAGGGCTGTAGTTCTCACCCACTGAAGAACTTGACATCATTTTGGTTTGTTTTGGATTATAATGCAAAAGTCCTACACAACTGAAAAGGAAACTTGAGGCTCCAAAGAAATTTGGTGTTCCATGAATAGCTTTGGACCATTTCCTCTTGGTTTCTTCTTCTTCTGCCTTAGGAGGTCTTGGTGGAAAACCTTGGGAAGCACAGATTCAACTCATGGGGAGAGTTGTTCTGGAGTTGATTCTGGGCTAGAAATCCAATGGACAGTGTACTGGCTATGACTTTATGCTCAGCCATTTATTAACTTTATGCTCAGCCAATTTCCCTATGGGATCTCAGGGATAATTGGATGCTCAGACCTCTCCCTGTTCCTGTGGGCCCATGCCTCATTTTGTGTTTGTGTACACTGTCATAGTTCAAGATCCCTGGTCTAGGGACCTGTCAAGGTCTAGTGCATCCTGGCCTTAGCATTGATCTGCCTGTTTACCATTCACTGTTTTTCACTTCTGTTTTTTTTTTTTTTAGACTGAGATTTTCCTTTTCTTCTTGCCTGCTCAGATGTCTGAGGTCAGTTGTTAGCTACAACAAACTGTAAATTATTTCGACAATTTTGAACTTTTTCAGGTAGTACTTCAAAAGGGTGTGTGAGGGGGTCATCCCAGGGTTGTAGCCTAGGAATACTAGAAGCCATGCTGACATGGGAGTTTCCTAGGGCAGGGTTTGAATGGGAAGCAGGGGCAGGGAGCTTCAAGGTCCAGGCTTATTTGCTTTATGAAGCAGATAAGAGTTCAAGAAAATGATGTGTTGACCACTTGCACCGATGTTGGCAGTATTTTGGAAAAAGAATTGACCAATTTCTGCAACACAACTTGGGCCCACTGTGAGGCCAGGAGTGCCAAACCACTCCTTCTAGAACCTTCAGAAAACAACCAAAGAGAAAAATAGTATGGAAACTTCTTTGAACCTATATAGGCCACAAGCAATGCTTTTAAACTTTTAAAATCATGTGTCAATAAAATACATCTTTCAGTATATCTTATTTTAGTTTTTCATGAAGTGCTGTTCATAGTCCAGCAAATTAACTTCATCACTGGCCAATGGGTCACAAATCACAAACCACATCTGAAAGACAAGAAGGGCATTGACTAGGGAAAGGGCAGGCAGCGTGTAGGGGAGAGGAACCAACCTTTGGTTTCACATATAACTCAACACCACCTAGAAATCTGAGGGGCAAATCTGACTGCCCAAAGGAATCTTTTGAGTCTGACCTTAGATAGGATTTTTGCGGATGAAATTCATTCTTTCATAATAAAGATGTAGTAATAGGAGCATCTATTGAGTAATTTCCCAGAAGCACAAGACTGAACCAGAACTAGTCAAAGAGATTAGGCCAGTGACAAAATTCATCTAAGCAGAAATGCTAAGATTTTTTTTTTTTGATGCTGGGGATCGAACCCAGGGCCTTACACGTGTAAGGCAAGCACTCTACCAACTGATTTATAACCCCAGCCCCAGAAATGCTAAGATTTTTAATTGTCAAAGTGCATCCTGGTAGAATGTAGCATTCCCAGAAAAGGTCACTGTAGAAGCCTGGAGAAAAAGCAGTACATTAGGGGCTGTGGCTGTGGCTCAGTGGTAGAGTGCTTTCCTAGCATGTGTGAGGCACTGGGTTTGATCCTCAGCACCTCATAAAAATAAGCAAAATAAAATAAAGGCATGCTGTTCATCTACAACTACCAAAAAACATTTTTAAAAAAAGCAATACATTGGATTTTGTTCTAAGTCCTTTGTAGACGTTTGTGAAAGAAGTAATCGGGTGAGATTACTTCTTTCAGATATTTTCTGAGCTCATACTATGTGCCAGGCATGATTTTTAGGCACTAGGGCTCCATTTGTAAACATCACACCTTGCTTTCATGAGCTGACATTCTAGTGGCAAGAGCAATAACCAAACCAAAACATAATATGATACCAAGTAGTGATAAGTTCTGGAAGACAAGTCAGGCTGGGCGAGGTTATGCAGGCTACTATAAGTACCTTGTCTGGTATGGAGCCCCTTAAATAGAAACTCGCAAAAAGAGAAAGTGTGAGACCCAAGGTACCTGGGGGAAGCTTGATCCAGGTAGCAGGAACAACTATAGCAAAAACTCTGGGGCAAGAGACTCAATGTGTTTAAGGACCAGTAAGAAGGCCTGTGTGAATGAAGTGAATTCAAACCTATGACTGGGAGTCTCAAAAGTGACTGTAAGCATGCTGAGTATAACTGCATAAGATGATAGCAAACAAGGCAATTTCAGAAAGGCTAAAGATTCACAAATGTTGCACACCCATACATATGGCTTTCAAATTCAAGTCAGCTACATTCACAGGAGGTAGTTAATTAGAAGGAATTGCCACCTTGAACCCAAAGTGTTTGTAACCTAACAAACTTTGAGCTCTTTCTCCAAATCCTTCATTTTTTTGGATCCTATCCTGAGCACTATTGTCATGGTGGGCAAGGATGGCTGTCCAAGCTGACTAGCCATCCGGTGGAGTTGG